ATCCTATCCTCCAAACTCCAAGCCCTAAACTCTAAACTCCAAGCCTTATAAACCCTAAACTCCAAACCCTAAACCTTAAACTCTAAACCCTATAAACCATACATTCAGGGCCATTGCGCTGAGTCGACGGCGGGGGCTGGCCACAAGCGGCAAAGGCGTCACTTTGCCTCTCGACGGTGACGGGCTGCAAGACCTCAGGAAGAACGGTCAAAGCCTAAACCCCAAACCCTAAACCATGGGTCCGTGGGCATTTTGTGTTGCTTGTGGCTTTTCGGAGTTCAGAACTTTGGCGTCTACAGGGCTTCTGGGGGTGAGGTGGCTTTGGGAGTTAGGATGATTTGGCCCAGCCAGCTAGGAAATTTAGAGTTTAGGGTTTTATGTAGGAGTTTCAGGATTCAGGGTTTAGGGTTCAGTGCCCTCACCAATGCCCCAAACCCGATGAGTGGTCTAGAAGGGATTGTTATAGGATGAAAAGTAAGAACAGCAGAAGAACGCATTTCGGGGATGTATTGGGGATGTAAATTCATAAAGTAAGCGCGGAGATATAGGGGGACTATATAGGCGGGCATGATTACCAACGATTCAGCCCGCTTGTGTCGCGGTTTTCCATGGATGTTTCGGCAGCTCTGGACCCTAAACCCTAAACCGTTCACAGGGAATTTTAGTGGGGTTCTGGGGAATCTTGGGGCAGAGTTTACGGGGGTCTGGATACCCCAAGCCATAAACCCGATAAGCCCAATAAGCACAATCCGTATAAGATAGAATGCCTAAATAATTACCAATATTCTTCCTTATGGTTCCTTATTACAAGTATAGTATAATCGGCCCCAAAACCCTATTCTAATTATTTGAGCCCCTACATAAAACCCTAAACCCTATAAAGCCTCAACCCGATAAATCCTAAACCCTAAAAACCACCTAAACCCTAAACCCTATTCTAATCATTAAGGCCCCTGTATTAAACCGAAAACCCTATAAGCCCTCAACCCGATAAATCCTAAACCGAGCAGAAGAGTTGGCAGCCTCCACCGTGACGCTGTATCCCAACTTCGCGGCCAACTTGCCTTGGAATCGCGATCAGTTCAGTTGTTTCGGCGAGTTTGGCTGAGGGTTTAGGGTTGAAGGATTACGAGCAGTCGCGGCTGAAGGAACCCTAAACCCTAAACCCTATTTGTTGAGAGATTCGGGATACAGGGGGCATGGAGTCGCTAGGTTCCGCTCGAATGATGCTTCGTGCTTTTGCTTTGGTCTCAGCGCCTGGGAGCCAGGGGTAGTCTAGGATGTAGGGTTTAGGGGTTTAGGGTGTAGTGTAGGGTTTAGGGTGTAGTTTAAGGTGTAGGGTTTAGGGTTTAGGGTGTAGGGTTTAGGGTGTAGGGTTTAGGTTTCAGGGTTTAAGGGTTCATAAGGGGTTGGGCAAATATGATCACGGTGTCGGTTCGCACTACGGGCCCTTGTTCTGCAGCTCCTGGCAGAGCCGAAGCCCTAGATTTCGCAAAACCGACTGCGAGCTTTAAAGCAGGCTCCAAGCTCCTGAAATGGGGGTTTGAGAAAATAGGACCCTAACATGGTACCCTAAATAGTAGGATCCTTACTGAATTTAAAAGGACCCCAAAATAAGGCACCCACTTCTTTTCGGAAGCTCCTAATATGGCTCTACGAAAACAAAATCCAAGTACCTAGCAACCCACAGGTTTCCAAAAAAGGCCCGAATACCAAGCTACATGGGTAGTTTTCAAAATTAGGGTCCCTTTTTGGATCCTTTTTATAGGGTTTTGGGTTTAGGTTTCGGAATATGTCATTGAAGTCATATGGGTAGTTCTCTAGATTAGGGTCCCTTTTTGGATCCTTTCTATAAGGGCGCCGTGCTATATTGGGGACCTAAAAAGGGACCCTAATGTAGAGAACTACCCACATAACGACCATCCTGAGCCAAGCACCTGACTATGCAATAATTACTACCCTAAACCCTAAACCCTAAACCCTAAACTGTGGCAGTAAAGGGGTTTCCATTCTGAGAGTAGGAGAGCCTTAAAGACGACATGGGCCCTGAAAGAGTTGAGGGTTCATATACCCTATATAGGGATTCGTAGTACAAGGGTATAGGGCGCTTACTTTTAAGGGTCTTTCGGTCCTTAAGGAACAGGCTAAAGTACAACTTGTTGCGATTTCACAAAGGCCTATTGGAACGCACTCTTCATCCACCAGCGCACTAAGCCCACTAACCCAACCCCATACACCAAACCCTGAACCCTAAAACCCTAAATCCGAACCCGCAAACCCCCAATTCTCGGGGTCCGAAGCCCCTCTATCTCGCGTGAGGCAGGATGCTGTGGAAATCCGAGGACAAGCTCGATGTAAGCCGTGTTGCAGCCGCCTAAAAAAGCAAAGAACAGGGAACGAAAGGCAAACTTCCGAATTTCCATCTTTGTGGGCTTTGCTGTAAACCCTGAATGAAAGTCCTGGACCATGAGCCCAAAGCCCGAAAAATCCCAAAGCGGTAGACCCCAAACCCAGAGCCCTGAACCCCAAACCCTGCCAACGAAGAAGACACACCAGTGCTAGTTCTAGTCATGGTGCTAGTATATGCACGCATAGCAGCATGAAATCATCTCACAACACCAAAATACTGTTGGTACTCACAGAATACAGAAGAACCAGAAAATCAATGCTTCAACGAAAACCGCGGATAAACTTAATCCCTATACCTCCCGTGACAACAGTTCAACACCAAAAAATACGGGACTGCCTGTCTGACCCATCAGCACCGAGCATCATAGACAAAAAGCCCAAAGCCCTGCAGTCCAGTTCTGAGAATTTGGGTCTTCCGTGAACCGGATACTGCCGAAAAACCCAACAACCTAAATCAATCACGGTATTTATCCAAGCCCTGTGGCACACATCCCAAAATTCGAAAGCCGAACCGAACACTAAGGACAAACACTGCAAACTGTCCAAAAACTACCATAACAATGAAATTCGGGACGTGGCCTCTGCCATGTCTTCTGCTTCCGGCGCATCGAACTCGAGCCTGGCTTGTCACAAACATCCTTTGGACAGGAAGTTTCGCACGGGCTTATGTACGGGTTTCATGCGGGGTGTCATATTTCTGTTCTGGTGAAGCTCGCTTAAAAGGCGGCTTTCGAGGGTTCCTTTGGCTTGGCAGGGCTGCTTGGTGCTTTATAGGACTTTAAGCCGGCTTATTGTCTGGTCTGTTCAGAGTCTCCCAACCCTAAACCCTAAACCCTAAACCCTAAACCCTAAACCCTCTGGGCTATTGCTTGATCAGACTCGTTGAGGTTCAGGGCCTGAGCCTCATCATGTATCTTCCGGAGCCCTAAGCCCCTAAAACCCTAAACCCTAAACCCTAAACCCTAAACCCTTAAACCCTAAGCCCTAAGCCCTAAGCCCTCAACCCTGAACCTTGAGGAGTTGGGGCTCGGGTTTGGGTTTGGAGCTTCGGAGCTTTCTGGGATTTTTAGGGGCGTTGGACTTGAGGGGGCTTTTGTGTTTCGGGCAAAGCCTTTATAAACTAATTTGTGCCGAAAACAAAATTGCCAGGCTTCGGGATCTAGGGCGGGGTCGAGGGCTTCGGTGGTTCGGGGTTGAGGGCGGGGGGTCTCGAGGGTTTTAAACTTTGGGGTCTTGCGGATTAGAGCTACGGAATGAGGACTCCAACTTGCAGGATATTCCAAGCGCGGCTTTGGGTCTCAAGTTCATGGTGGTATCCATGTCCGTAGCCGTGTTGAACATCAGGGCATCATGCCGGCGAGTATGGCTGCCTCTGGACTGCTGTTTGGATCTAGTGAGGCAATCGTCGGAACTCAGGGGCAATGGCGCCTGGCATTCAACGTCCGGTCGACGAGAGGAGACTTCCCTCATCCTTAAACCCTTCTGAACTTCCTTCCCTCAAGCTGTTGGAGACTCCCGTGGGCCACTACTGTTGATGGACAAAACATTGACAAAACCCTGCATGACCTTAAGGACCTTAAATTATGGGAATTATGGTATATTCCTTATAATGGGTAATGCAGGATTTTGTCCATCAACAGTATCATTCAGGCTTTTACTTGCCGGGGGATCATGAGGCGGGTCAAAAGTTCTAACTCTGCGGCCGTGTCTGAGGATCCAACCCCTCGTGATACTGGGCTGTCTGCGTACTGCTAGGTTTAAGCTAGTCTAAAATGAATGAACGCCTCAGTGAAACCCAACTAAGCCCTAGAAGCCCTTAGGACATCACAAGCGAGAAAAAGCTCCGATCTCCGTCAAGCAAGCCGGGATCAGAATACTGCAGCCCAATATCGTTCATAATACGGTTTAGGATATATATGCTTCAGGATTTAAGGCTCTTTACACTCACGCATGTTGCTAGTGTTCATGCCCCAATCAACCCTACAGTGAACCGCGCTGAACATCCCGAAACCCTCACCCTTTTGATTCAGCTTAACCGCACTGACGAACATCCCTGAACCCTGAGCCGGTAAACTCCAAGCATCTGAGACATTCTCCGGCTGCTAAAGCTGACAGCTACTTCCCAGCCGACCCGATCGTGGACGCAGCCAGGACGAAGTCCAATGAAGGAGCTCCTTCGGAAAGGCTTGTAGGTGTAGGGTTTGGGGCTCTTTGCCCACTAAGCTGTTCAAGGCTCTACCATAAATGCTAAATTAATTGTCGGAACCGTTGAATATATATATATATATGTATGTATGTATGTATGGCCTCATACTAGCGGTTTGTTGAGCGGCCTGTCGGGGTCAAGATAGGCTTAGGCTTGTGGCTCGAAGGCTCTGCACGAGACGATGCGGACAGGATTGTGATACTGTCTGTTCCTGATTTCTGCTGAAGACAGCACGTATTGACTGCGAGGGGCACATGGGAACAAGTATCCCACAATACAGGGTGGTGCATGGTGTACATGATGCGATAATGCAGACCTCCTGCAGCCATGTGGAAGCAATCACAGGACAGCTTACGAGGGGCTTAGATGCCCTGTGCCGTCGGAATCAACGCAAAGTGCAGTGTGCAGGGGTCTCGGGCGCCAGGTCGTGGAGGAGCTGCAGCGCTTCTGCGTGCCCGTTCTCAGCCGCCCAGTGTGCAGGGACCCAGCCGTCGTTGCCCTTGGAGGAGAGGGTCTCAGGTGCCAGGTCGTGGAGGAGCTGCAGCGCCTCTTTGTGCCCGTTGAAAGCCGCATAGTGTGCAGGGACCCAGCCGTCGTCGTCCTTGGAGGAGCCTCCTCTCTCCTCCTCTCTCCTCCTCTCTCCTCCTCTCTCCTCCTCTCCCTCCCTCTTCCTCTCTGGTCAGAGTCGAGTCTCAGTCTTCCTATCCACCCCTTCCAATCGTTCCATGGCGAATTTCTTCTCGGTGTCGCTGTCGTGTGCTCATGTATCGTGGTGCATCACA